GCTCCAGGAGACATGGTCACAAGACCACTGCACGTCTTTTCCCTGATACTGATGTTAGCTTCCACTACTCCGTGTTTTAACTGAATGCTACAATGGAATCTGTATCTAATCCATCATGTTTAGTGTCTGACAACAGATACATAGGGATTTAATAAAAGCTTGGGATAATGAGGTTAGTCGTACGATGTCAGCTGTAGTGTTTGCTGAACTAAAATTCAGTTGCTCATCTTGACTCAGTTGCTGCCAAGTATCTATACTGTAAAATCCAGAAGTGACCCTGAGGGAATGAAGATGTCCAAAGTACCAGTACCAGTGCTGAACCAGTAAGAACTATGCACAAAGCACTAAAAGCTTTTTAATTAATGTAGATTCTTATTTAAATAATTCTTAGAATTATCTTCATTTAAAATTATCTTAATTTTAGAAAGGCAGAAAGTTGGTGCTCTGGAGCCAGGGAAACAGAAGCGAGCAGCTTTAGAGCTTATGAGCAGTGAAGTACCTCCCCAAGAAAGATGGATGTGTTGCAAAAGAGCTCATAAGATGTCTGCATGTCTGAACAAGAAATAATGCTTCTGTCCTGTCATTTCTTCTGGTGTTTTCAGTCTTTCCTGACCCGGAAATATTTTTTTAATAACCCAGAGGACGGATTTTTTAAGAAAACGAAAAGAAAGGTAGTGCCTCCTTCACCAATGACAGGTACGTTAAGGTACCATCAATGCTGCCAGGCAGAAAAACTCTTAACTTCCTGCCTTGGCAGAAAGGTGAATCAACTTTGCAAAGAGCTCAGGGGATATGAGGGAGAGGGTGGGACTGTGCTGATGGGTTTTGGGAAGGAGGAGGGAGTGAGATCTCACTCTTTGTTAGCAACTTGTCACTTCATTTTGCTTAACTTCAACCTCCAGCTGCCTGCAGCATTTCATGAGACCACAAGTACCTCAGTGTTGCCAGAAATGGGAAGTCCTGCTCTCACTTGTGTCCTTATGTCAGCTTTTTGCACCAGCAGGACCTTCTCTGAACTGATGTAGCTTATTAATGTGGACGAAGACCTCAGCAGCATATTAGCTAGATAGTTCATTGTCCCTTTTTCAGCTAAATCAGCTCACAGAGGGGCCAAGCAAGTTCAGTGATCTGGCACAAGGGATGAGGTCAAACACAGACAAAGCAGCTGGGGTCAGACATGGCAAAAAACACACCACCCTTTTGCAAGCAGCAGCCACCACAGATCTGGGGTAGACGGTGGGACAGGACTGCTCTCTCTCATGCAGTTTCCTAATTAAAATAGTTGACCTGGGTGAAGTAATGTCATTTCCCTTTATTGTGATGCATTGCTACCATACATCAAATCTGTGATTGCAGATCCAACCATGCTGACAGATATGATGAAAGGGAATGTAACCAATGTTCTGCCTATGATCCTCATCGGTGGGTGGATCAACATGACATTTTCAGGATTTGTCACAAGTAAGTGTCTGGAATAACACGTATCTGGTGTGTTTCTGATGATGATCTCGAGGGTCTGGGCTGTATCAGAGATTTGTTCCTCCATCTGAAAGCAGTCAGTTGGAAGCAGCATAAATATGGCTTGTGGCACTGCTGCTATTCACGCCATGAACTGCACTGATTCGCTTGCCCCGTAGCAAAGGAGGGAAAACAGTTTTCAGAGTACTGGCCACGGTCACAAAGAAAACAGCTCGTGTATTATGGAACAATTGTAGTTACAAACCCAGTATTTAAATTTACTAAAATGGCCTAAACTTCAACTTGATGCAGTAGATTTTCCTCTGTCTAGGGAGTTGGTTATTGTGTAATGCAGGGTGTACATGTGAAAAATACTTGCTTAAATGGACAGTTCTGGGGTTTTTTTCCTACTGTTTATGTGGTAACTTTTTCCTTAACAAAAGATGTTCGCCTGAAACACTACCTATGAGTGTTTGGTCATCAGATTCAGTTTCAAAAAGTCTTCTCATACTGAAATAAATACAGAACTAGAGTTTTTTGAAAGATACCTGTTAACCTGATGTAGTCTGAATGCAATGCATACACTACTAGATTTAATAAAAGCACTATCTACTTGCTTTGCAATTTGCTTTACAATTTTATAGCGTCACTTTGTGAAACTGGGCTCTTTCCATCCCGCAGCAAAAGTACCATTTCCTCTGACACTGCGTTTTAAGCCGATGTTGCAGCAGGGAATTGAGCTGCTCACTTTAGATGCGTCCTGGTAAGCCATGTCCTCAGCAAGCAAGGTCAAACCGTCATTTGGAAAATTCTGAATGTGTTAATAACCCTTGAATGGTCTGTGCATGCTTCTGGAATGAGGTCACAAGCCAGCTTTGAGCTGGAATCAACCATGCTTGTTCTGATTTATCAGGGTGAGCTCTGCTTCATGGTACTTCTTGAATGTGTTTGGACTCAGAAGCATTTATACTCTCATCCTGGGCCAAGATAATGGTAAGACACCATCATTTCTGTGTAAGGGCTGCTTCTGCTTCCATGGGATGACTTCTGAGGGAGGCTGGAGAAGCATTTCTAAATTTCCAGTAAAAAAGCTCACGCTTCTGTGAGGTTACTCTCAGGTTACGGCCAGGTTTGACATCACCTGCAGCAGGTATCCAAATCTTCTGTACCAGCTGCTGGCAAACTGCTCATGAACTTCCATGGTAATTGACCCATGTTTTCCTTCCTATCAAATCCATGTACATAAGTTTTGCTCCCAGGCTTGCTTTTAGTTGTAGCAAGTATCAGTTTTAAGGAAAGACAGATTTTTTTAATGCTAAATGTAGGGCAGGACAGATACTGCTTCGGGGGGTATTGGGAATGTCGAAGACCATGTTTTCCTCAATTTGTCTGCATATTTAAAGTGAATTTAGCTGAGATGTAGGGGGTGGGAACAAGATGTCTTGTGAGAACTCTTTCTGGCACATTAGTATTGTATTCTTTGTGTTTCTGCAAATTCCTAGTCTATAACTAGAAACCAGCCTGGTGGCACTGTGCTCCAAGAAATGCTGTTTAAATGACACAAAAATCAGCCTCTGATTTCTCATTTCTCTTTTGCAGCTGCAGATCAGTCCAGGGTGATGCAAGAACAAATGACAGGGGCAGCAATGGCCATGCCAGCAGATACTAACAAAGCATTCAAGGTACTGTATTCCCACTTGCAGTCCCAATTGCTGTGAACTTACAGGATGGTGGGCTGTAGGTAGCTTGGCCTCTTCCTGTGTTAAGTAAGGGAAGTGCTCTGGATTGCTGTTCCTAAAATTAGAGCTTGCCCTGGGTCTGGCAGAGCCCTAATACCCTGAAGTAAACCTAATCATTCCTAATGCTGACTGAATTCATGTGCCACCATCTGCTTTTGCAGGAGGAAGATTTTTTCTTTTCCCTTGAGGTCTAGTTCCAAAGCAAAAGCTGACTCCCAAAAAGTTGTGTGGAAAATGAGCAGCAGGGGGCATCATTCTCATATTTAGGATGAAATTCTGCTCCTGGGTCTTGGGCTGCTGTGAAGACTTGGTATAACAAATGGAGCTCTGCAGCTCTAGGGAGAGTGTTGGTTGGAGAACATCCTCATGAAGCACATCAAGTCAGTGATCAGCTGCAAAATTTTTGACCTGTAACTGCTTTTATCAAATGTCTCTGAACTAAAGAATTAGCCACAAAGCACTTGAGCCTCCAGAACAGAACTGGCTATTTCTAGAGACATCTGTTTTAGAAGAAATGGTTAGAGGGTTTTCAAAAAGCAGATAATACAGTTTTTCTAATTACTATGATGTATTGACCAACTATCTTATACCCAATTAAGCATAAAACACTGATTTCAAGGAGTTGACAGGATTGACGAGTTTTTACTAGAACTTGGGGTTTGTTGCAGTTTTTAGGGTAAGCACTGCTTTGTGTAGTTCTTGTGTAACTACTGTAACACTGTGTTGCTTTCCTTTCTCTGCCTCTGTTTAATGTCAACGCAGACGGAATGGGAAGCTTTAGAATTGACTGATCATCAGTGGGCCTTAGAAGATGTAGAAGAGGAGCTCATGGCAAAAGACCTCCATTTCGAAGGCATGTTTAAGGAAGAACTTCAGACTTCCATCTTCTGAATTTGAGAATATGCTTTTGTCTCTTCTTGTAAAAGTAATTTGAAAAGAAATGTGTTACTTAAAACTACATAAGGTATTTTAGAAAGGCAGAGAATAAAACAAAACATGTTCAGAACTGCAGTTACCTCATTTTGATTTGAGCCCCAGGACTAAGTATGTTGTATTTAAGCCAAAGGCTCTTGGTGCAGGTTCTAGATGGGGTTCTCTTTCTCTCCCTGGGAAATGTATGCTGGAGAAAAGATGTAACATTTCTAACAAAGAACAAGCTTGCTTAAGGAACTTAAAACTTCATGAGACTGAAAAAGTACAAGTAGTGCCCATGTTTCTGGTTTTAACTTCTTGAACAAAGGCATAGCTAGGTATCGTTTGCTTCTGAACATCAACATCATTGTGTTAGCAATTCAAAACTGACCTGCTGACAAAGTAACACATCTTCAACAGCAGCACAAGGATTCAGTTTCTGAAAGCAGTGGTTGGCCTTCCTCTCTGTACTCTCTTTCCTGTTGCAATAATTGGGGTTTGAAGCTTTCTCAGGAGAAAACAAAAGCAAGAGGGAGATACTCACCACTTGCTCACAGCAAAGCACAGGACAGCTCACCTTCCTCTCATATCTGAGCCTGCACCCAGTGCTGCAAAATCCCAGCTGCTTTCACCTGCCCTGCTCAACCTGCTGGTGGACACGCTGGTGGTCACAGGGGCAACAACTTCTGGCCCCCTCTTAGCTGCTTTCAATCCTGGGCAGAGCAGCTCCTCAGAGGACTCTGGGCAGTAGAGAGCCAGAGATGGCATTTCTGTACAGAGGGAGCAAACAGACTATTTCCCCACTAATTTAATCCCTCCCAAGTCCATTTATAGGCACCTTCTATACAGAGCCTCTTCTGCCTGCCACGATGTACACCCAGCAAGGGTGCCTGGCTGTTCCTTGTGGTCCCTGTTCAGTTATTTACTGTGTCAGGTGGGGAAAATAAATACCTCAGTTTAAGCCTCCTGCATCTTCTTGGGACTGCAGAGAACAGAAAGCAACTTTTCCTAGCTTGTTCTTCTCCAGGAGCTCCTCAGATCTCTCTGCCCCAGGCAAGAGTCCTAACCTGAAGAAATGCTTAAACAGAAGCTCTTTCATACTCTGGCTGTTATTTTCCACAACCTCTTTATTCTGAGCCCTTTTTTGGGGGGTAAAATTGCGCATCCTCTTCAAAGCAGGAGCTGAGCCAGGACTGAGACACAGTCTGTTTTCTGTTCCTACAAAATTCATCTCCCCTCTGAACAGGAGCCTTAGCTCAGAGATGTTCTTTTCTGCCTCAAAGACCTCTTTCCTGAATGCTCATTAACCGCTTCTATGACAACACAACTCCTGTATCAGGTTATTTCTCCCTCCCCTTTGCAATGGGAATTTCATTTCACTTCATGCCCTCAGCATTCTTGCATAAGCTGTTCCACACCAACACACAACACCCCAACACCTCCAATCTGAGAGGTGCCACTTTGCTTCCCCTTTGTCCCATGATGGGTTTCATGCCACTCTGTGGAGGCCAGCATTCCATAGCAATGCTTACCATCTGCTGTTCTACACTGCAACACTTCCAACCCTCTCTGAGGCTCCAAATACTATCAGGCTCCTGTGTCAGTGGAGCTTTAACTGAGTTTGAACAATACATTGCATTTAGCCTCAATTTATTGGTTCCATGACAGAGCCTGATATTCCTCGAGAAAATGGACAGAAGGCAGACATGGCTTCCCCCAAGATCTGCAGAGGAAGAAGAATGACATGGAAGCTGCAGCCAAGGCTGCACAGTGCCACAGAAAGGCAAAGGGAGGCTTTGCTACAGCACCAGTTATCAGCAACACAGCACCACAGGTGAGAAAAGCCAATCCTCAAGTGAGCATGAACTCTAAGGCGTACAGAGCAGTACAAGCAGCATCTGCCTGTCTCCCACATCCCCCCTGGCAGAGCAGGAGGTGTTGGTTCCACAGGCCTCACCCTCCCCCAGCCAGGAGAGCTCCTGCAGCACCAGGCACCTCCCAACCAGCAGTCCCAGGTCACACACTAGAAGCTGAAAACACAACACAACCCAGTTTCAGTGCAAACCACTCTTTAATTTTCCTCTTTGTACAATAGAGCCAGCCACTTACAAAGTGCTAGTCTAAAAAACAGGTCTGGTATTACAGCACACACACACCAGCCAAAGCCCACCAGCTCAGGGGCAGAGAAATTAAGAGCTGGGCCACTGTTTCTGCAGTACAACAGTCTGTTCAGCGTCTGGGCATCAAGGATTTATCCCCACTCATGTGTGTGTTGGTGTCAGCACAGGTGGGGAGATGAGGATGAGAACAAAGGCTATTTCAGATTAGGTTCTCTTTTAAAAAGGTCTTTTACTCCCCTCCCTTTCCTCTCTCCATTTTGGAATGCCCATGTGATTTTTTCTCAGGGTTAAAATGAACAAAAACATGCTGATCAGGGTAATTCAGTGCAGTGCTACAGCTTAAAAGTTGTTTTTTGGACGCTCCCCTCAGTAACATGTTAAAAAAAACAAAAAAAAAATCCCACAGAGATACAATATGAAGAGTTGTAAAAATCCCAAACCACCCCCAAACCTGAACAGCAGAAGCAATGAAGCAATTCTGACCTCAAAATTAAAATTTCAATGCTTTAAAAGCAAAATTCCACAGGAGAGGATCACAACACCAGTGTGCCAGCTGGAGGCAGCCCTCCTCTCACCTTCCAGTGCCCCAGCCAGGGGCTGCTCAGTGCCCTCCTCCTTTCCCAGTGCACAAAGCAGAACACAGCAGTAGCTGGCCAGGCTTTGCTCAGCTGCAGCACAGCAGAGGTGCAGGAACAGGCACACAACAGCTTCCTACGGACTTGTCACCAAGAGCTGCAGAAAAGGGAGCTGAGCTGAAATACTGGGAGTTAAATGAATGACTGCTGTTCCACTGACCAGTAGATCATCACTGTCAGCAAAGAAGCCACAGGGACTGTGCACAGAGGATTGAGTGGCACTAAGCATGCATTTTTGGGGAAAAAAGCAGGGCAGTAGCCTGTCTTAGCCTTTTATTCTGTCAACACACTTGGCTCCAAGAATGAAAATCTCTCGTTTGGTTCACCACCTTGAGCAAGATCTTTCCCTGAAAAACACAGGCTAAAGCTCTAAATTCTTCCCATTTCTCACACTGAAGACCAGTTCTCCACTGGGGACTGACCTGATCTAGTGCTCACCAGAGATCCTCGTTCAAGAATAAAGCTGCACTTGAGTCCTGCAAGTAACACAGATGGTAAAGGAGGACAGAGGGAAGAGCATTTGTCAGTTGCACCAAAAGGATGGAGTAGAACTATTGAACAGCTGAGGGAAAGGGAGACCTTGAACAGAACCATCACAGCTGCAGCCTCACAGAAGATGATGGGGATGCAGGATCTAAAGGGTAGTGCTCAAGGAAGGAGAAGAAAAGCTGAACAAGCAGTCAAAAAAGAACCAAAAGTCACAAGAGAAAAGGCTGAAAACTCATACAATTCATTGCACTGGGCTGTCACCCTCACAGGTTACAGCTCTGGGGACACAGTGTTGAGCTTTGCTGGAGAAAAAGCTCCAAGGAGTCACATAAATGAGCAAAGGAGGATTAAAATGCTGCCACTGCACAAATTGTAGCAGAAGTGGTAGAGGCAGAAAGTGCTTACAGAGCAGCCTGGAAGCAAGGGGTGTACGAGATTGATGGGGATGAGAAGTTGCCAAGCCACAAAAGATGACATTTTCTCTGCAGAAGAATGGGAGCCAGAGCAGCTGTGTCCTGTGTCACTGTGCAGATCAGCCTGCACACATGCCATACCATAGGCAGGTACGATCTGCTTCCAGCAGATTGCTACATTACAGAATTCAGTGTTCAGACCAAAGAGGCAGAGTCAAAACTGCCCAGAAAAGCCTTAGATGTATCAGTGAAGGGACACAAGAACGAGAAACATCTGCTGCTTTTCAAAGTGACCAAGGTACAATGGCAGAGACCGCAACAAACAGGCCAGACGTACAGAGATTTGAACTGAGCTTCCAGGCAGGGTGCAGCAAACCCCCCTGACACTGGCAGGGCCCAACACCAACACCAGAGCCAGCAGGAAACCCCCACACCGATTCACAGAATCATACCCCCTGTACTGCTCCCCGGGCCCTTACAAGGCTCAGCTGTGAGCTGGCCTTCAGCTCAGGCTGTGCTCTCTCAACCCCAGCTGCAACTCTCAGCCCCAGCCCCAGCTCAGCCCTGACCCCTGCCTCTAGCCACACAGCTCAGCCAGATTTTAAAAAGAACTTTATTGAAGCTCCAATATATATTATTTTTGGCCTCTAAATACCCAAGTGTCAGCACCTATTCCTGGCTCTCCAGTGCTACTCTGCAACCCCCAGCACTCAATCTCTCAGTGCTAGATTTTCTGCTTGACTCCTACAAGAAGGAAGAAAAAATTTCAGGTGCCTCAGGCATGGCTTTAGAAGAGCAACCGCTAATATGGTGGCTGAGTGCTGGAGGTGATGCCTAGTTGGTGTCCATGCCGTCATACTCTTCTTGGGGAGGAGATGGGGCAGTATGTTCCTCACTGCTTCGACGCTGATAAAACAGCACATATGCAGCTTTTGTCTACCAAACAAAGAAGAAAACCACCTGAAACAATCCACACAGCCTGAAACATGGAAACATAAAGCCCAAAGCAGAGAACCACACTTTGAGCACAAAGTCAAGATTGGCCTCAGGCCAAATACTCACCACTATTTGGTCTTCTGAAGCTATCGATACACTGCTGTCATCAAAGTAGTACCACTTGTCATTCACCTTGTTCTTTGCATATGCAGTGTCTGTCAGGAGAAGAAACTGCAGCTCAGTGCTCCGGGGAGGACTGGAAGGTAATGTCACGCCAGCTGCACTGCTTGAGACTCAAACCGACTGTGCATGGGAGCTCAGGAGCCAGCTTTGACATTAACTACCCCAAACCTAGCTCATCGACATACACATCTTCTAGAACATGTTAGCCAGTCCATAAAATCTAGAACCGTGTTCCACATGACAGACTGATCACTGATAGCAGAGATACAGGGCAAAGAAACTGAGGAAAGAAATCGAAATGTTTTGTTCATCCAAAACATTTGGATGGAGCCAGAGCTTTCCCAAGCAGTTTAAGACTGCATTTTCACATTTTTCATATGAAAGAGAAGTTTTCTGTTGATGATGGATCTGATCCAGTGCTTGCAAGATTCCTGACTGAAGAAGGAAGCTGGATTGAAGTCCTACAAAGTCTCTTCCAACAAAGACTTCTGTAACTGATCTCCAATCTCAAACCACATCCCCCTTCAGCTAATGCGATCCTACTGTGACATACACTTAACAAGTTAAGCACATACACTGCCAAATGAATGGGGTTCATCATCCTCTCATAGTAAACCACTTCATGACAAGCATACCCTCTGCTCTGTCTTCCTGGCCTATGCACAATTGCTGCTCATCAGACCTTGCCTCACCACCACTGAGGAACCTGGCAAGCTCCTGCTTGGCTGAAGGCAATCTCTGCTCTGCAGCTGTGACACTGCACCCACACTGGATAAGCAGCTGCCCTCTGGCATGCTTAAGAGCAAGAAGCTGAGTCTTGGAGCTGATCTGACAGCTTACACAGAAGATTCTCCACAGCACTCTCCAGTCAAGCTCCTTTCCACAACTTCACATTTGGCATTGAAAAAACCTTGACTCCACTCATATACTGAGGAACACCATCACACACTCTAATGATTACTATACCCAAGGTTCCACAGGCACTAAAGTCAGACCTTGGGCAGCTGCAGACTACACAAACTGGCTAGCTGCTCCGCAGATCCTAAGAGGAAGGACGCAACCTTCAAATACAGAACACAGATAAGTTTTGTCCAGACAACTTTGGGGAGGGCTCCTGCAGGTCTCAAATGCACAGAGCTCTCCCATGACCCCTCTGCCTGCATTTCCTGTGTGCAAAGAACACAGAAGCAGTTACTCACAGTGGCCCACTCCCATGGCTCCATAGTGATTGGAAACTGCAATAAGGTCGTAGACATACGAGCCTGCTCTCGGGTCGCAGACAAACTCAGACATGTTTAAACCCCTGAAACAAAATCCAAAAGTATCAGTACACCACTAACCAGTGCTTTCTAAAATGTGATGCATGACACCAGTGAAGCTCTACAAGGCAGGGCACATGGGTAGAGAAGGGCTGCACCCTGCTGGTCTACAACCAGATATTATTAGTGTAAAGACAAAATGTGTTAGCCCTCCCATACAGGGCAGGTCCTGATAAACGCATCAAGTGCTGCTAAAAGATTCAGAGGGAGGTGCTGAATAAAATACAGTTCCGAGTGCCACTGCGTAGGCATGAAAAGTGAGACAGGAGTAGTTAAGGACTACACTTCATCCTGCAGCAGGATGCTGACAATCAGCAGCAGAGAAATGAGGCAGGCTTTCATCTTGTACATGTGCAATCCTCAGTACAAGTGCAGCTCTGCCTGACAAATTTGCTCTCTAG